CCTGCTGAAGTCCATCGAAAAACAGGTCACACCCAGACGCAACTCGATTTCCCAGGCGAGTAAACCTTGCGAAAGGACTGTTGAAGTCGAAGTTGGTTGAGTGGTATCTTCGACCCAGCAGATCCCGAGATCTTGTGTTTGTAGGCACTCTGAGGTCGATTTCAGCTAGGAGATCTGGACAGTTCATGTGACCATTGACTATCTTCCAGAGAAGAATAACATCAGCCACGTCACGTCGCAGGGCAAGAGGTGACAAGTTCAGATTGCTGGACAGTTCCTCCACAGGCACATCAAGATAGGCAAAACCCAGCCGGACACCAACCAAACGAAGAAAACGCCTTTGTAGAGCCTCCAGTCTCGTCCTATTGCCAACAGTGTAAGGCGACCACACGGGACTTGCATATTCCACTAGCTGTCTCACAAGGGAACAATACAGAGAGCGAAGAGCAGAAGGGTTGTCGATGCCTCTGGAGAATCTTGCTATGAAACCAAGCATCTTGTTTGCTTTGTTACTGATGTGATCTATATGCCCAGAAAATCTCATGTCGCTGGAAAAAATAACGCCTAGGTCTTTTATACACTGGGACCGTGGAATGGATGTACCAGAAATGGAGTATACGTACATGACTGGGGATTTGATGCGGTGATAGGTTATACAAGAGCACTTACTGGGATTTACAGACATGTTATTCCTGACACACCAATCCTCAATTTCAGAAAGGCTATTTTGAATTTCTTGAGAGTCTTCTGGTGTAGACACAGTAGTGAAAATCTTCAGGTCGTCAGCAAATTGTAAGGCCTTTACAGTTAAATTGTCTAGTAGGTCATTGACAAAAACATTGAAGAGGCAAGGTCCCAGCAAAGAACCTTGTGGAACTCCTGAAGAAGGTGAGAACTGAGTGGAAGTGGTAGAACCAATCCTCACGACAAGAGAACGTTTTTGAAGATAACTAGAAATCCATGACAAAAGAGGTTCAGCCACTCCGTAGCCCAGCAACTTAGACACAAGAATTGTATGGTCGACCTTGTCGAAGGCTTTTGCCATATCAATGTAGGCTGCATCAACTTGGTAGTTCTTGCGAAAGGCAGACAAGACATATTCTTGAAAGAGCAGGAGATTGGAGACAGTAGACTTGCCTTTCATAAAGCCATGTTGGGAAGGATGGATTATTTTGGATAGAAAAGGATTCAGTCTATCTACCACGATACTTTCAAAGACTTTGCCAATTGCCGGCAGAATAGTGATTGGACGGTAGTTCCGTATGTCGCTGGGATCATTTGCTTTATGTAAAGGAATGATAAAGCCCGACTTTAAAGAGCTAGGGAAGATTCCTTTGTTAAGTGATTCGTTGAACAACACTGTGAGGGGTTCAGCTAAGAGAGATCGGCAGTGATGAAGCATAGATGGCGGTATATTGTCAATTCCAGCTCCCTTTGTAGTGTCCAGATTCTTAAGCTTGCTGAGAACTTCTTCAGTTGAGGTTGTTATGACACAGAGAGAATCGAAGACGGGATAGCTAAAGCTAGGTGAAACTCGTGACGATGGAGAGTAGACCGAGTTGAAATAACTGGAAAACAGCTGACATATGCTTGTTGTGTCACTGGCTACTTCGTCATCCAAATGCAGACTAGACGGCATGTCAGGAGTATTTCTTTGAGCCTTAACTAGTCCCCAGAAAGCTCGTGGATTAGAAGATATGTTTGATTGAACATTGGATAAATATCGAATGTGGCATTCACGAGACAGCGACCTACAATTATCTCTCAGCCTTGAGAATTCATAATAATGGACAAGATTGAAACTTCTCTTGAAACGTGCATGCGCAGCTTTCTTTTCAATAATGCATTTTTTAGGTCATCATTAAACCACCTAGGGAAGCGTGAGATACCAAATTTCTTCATCGGACTTGCATTTTTGACGATTTTCTCTAAGGAACTTTCCAAAAGATCAAACTTTTCATCAGTTGAGATCGGCTGGTGAATAAATCCCATATCTGCTTCCTGAAGGGCTATAAAAGCAGCGGGGAGGTCACATTTCCCCAAGTTGTAGCCGCTGTAGCTGTTGTCACAAGTAGAAGGCATATAGCACTCAAGAGTAAGGGACAGAGGAGGGTGATGAATTTCAGGTTTAATCAACCAATCGTTGGCCCTGATAACTTGCACTTCACTATCAGAATGGAAGACCAAGTCCAATGTTACTCCTCTATGGTTTTGAACATGATTTATCTGGAAGAGAGAGTGCAGAGAAGACATGTCACGGAGGTATTCGCAGCAATGTTGAGGAAGGCCAGATACAGGTAAGTTGACATCGAAGTGAGGCAAGTTGAAGTCTCCAAAAATGAGTGTCTTCTTTGGGAAATTTGCCAATTCGACTGTCTCAGTAACCGCATCACAGAATTCACGGTAAACAGAAAGAGGACTTGAAGGAGGAATGTAGACACAAGCCAGAAGAAGATCAAAACCAGGTCCCAATTTCACAAGGGCAAAGACACTTTCAATGTTGAATCCAGAGTGTAGTCGCTTAGACATAAGCTTCTTACGAACTGCAAGTAGGGTTCCTCCACCAGAACTTTTGTGACTTGTAGCAGCAGACCTATCACATCTATGAACAATGAAGTCAGTATCGCCAACGACTTCGGAGTCGGGGATATCAGGAGAGAGATTTGTTTCACATAGTAGAATAACATCATCAAGGCATGCAGATAAATTATTTTTTAACTCGATGAGCTTCGAACGAAGACCATTTACATTTTGGCAGTAAACATTCAGAGAAACATGCTGCTGCTTACCGTTGGAATTTATTCGTTTTTTGGCACAATAGAAGGCGTTCCATTCTTGTATCTAATCGTTAGGGAAGTATCACCGGCATCTTGTTTGGACTTTAAGGTGGCACGAAGAGTCTCCAGATGTCTCTTCTCTCGAGGAGTGCGGTCATGAGAGATTGATATTCCCCGCATGCTAATAGGAACATCATTTTCATTGAAGTTTTTGAAAATATAAATAGCAGCGCCTTCAGACGGCATACAAAGCATAAGAGGACGATTTGTCCTTTTTTTCCCCAATCTAAAATGACGAACATCTGAATACTGAACATTAGACTTCAAATGAACTAGAAAATCCTGGACAAAAACAGCATCCGCAGTTTTTGAGACTGTGTTGGAATCGGGGATGTTATGTACAATAACATTTTTTGCACGTCGATTACGATCATTGCATTCGGATAAGACATCTTCAAAAAGCTGATCACTACCCGCTACCTGTTTATCCTTGATAGTGCTTAATTCCGATTCAACATAGGCCAAACGAGGCTCAAATTCCTGTAATTTGGAGGTCACTAATTCCAGGTTTTGTTTTATAAGTTGTAGTCCTTCTGAGAGTTCTGTTTTAGTGGCAAGGGAGGACAATTTAGAGAGAATGGCATCCAGCTTGTCATCTATTGGGCTTGGCAGCGTCTTTTTACAGTCAGTTCTATGACAATACCATTTTATACTGTTATCGTTGCTAGATCGTTGGTATTCAGATTTAGACATTTTCACACATTCTCTGTGAAACCATCTCTCACATTCAGCATCACAGCACAAGCCATCTTCTGTATCTAAGACTTGCTTTACACAAACAGGACAGGAAGTAGACATAATTATAGAATGTACTGAATTTTATATCTCAAAAATATGCTTTGTGAAATGCAACAGCGAGAAGGCAGACAGTTCATAAATCAGTAGCTACTCAGTTCACCACTGGAAGTGTGCTTTTTATATAGTACTTATGTTGCTTAGCAAACCTGATATTCAAAGGGCTGTGGCCAGAGAAAAAAATTGGCGTGAGATGACTAATGAAACGACTTTCCAGATCAGACAGAAATGTTAGTGACGTCACAAGGGATATGGCCAGATATTAGACAGGGATAGTTTATTGAAAAAGTGTAGATTTTGGAAAACACACAGTGGAGTTCACTCACAGGCTTTTGCGAAAAATAGCGAAGTAGAAATGAGATAGTGCAAAACGAGGTAAGTTAAAAAGAAACACTCAAAACTGTAGTGCCCAAACAAGAGTCTCCGCATAGTAAACCACCATCTTGGAAAAAAAAAGACAATTCGTTTTTCTGAATTAAACGAAACGACCAAGTTAAACAACCAGAGTTAAAAAAAAAAAAATTGTACTGGTTGTTTCTCCAAGCAAACAGTCCAACCAAAGAACAATGCTACAACACTAAACGCAAATCGGAAAAACCAAAGTAAATAAAGAAACGTTTGTCGGATTAGCTGTTAGCAAATTCTATTTTTCCCTGTGTCAATTATGTAGATGCGCGGGCGGGAAGGAAGCTGGCGGAATCACGGTGAATATTACATAAAAAATCCCATCCTTGTTGTGGCCGCGGATAAAAATACGCGCTCGTGAATTGTTTAAGACTGGCGAGCGAGCGCCCGTCGTTTCATAATGCAAACGAAAAAATGACCGGAAAAGTGACGCGAAATTATAAAAACCGGACAAAAAGAGCTTATCCGACTTATTTGCATGCCCATGTTAATTGTAGCAGGCAAAAAGGAGCCATTTAGCGACCCTCGAGAATAAATAATACCCTGTACACAAACAAACTTAATTAATTTGTCCGGCCGTTTACATCTATTATTATTCCGTAGGAAATCTCGTCTACAGCTGTTGTTTTTATTCTCTTTTTACTCGGGTTGCAGCTGACTTGACGACAATAGGCTAAGTTTACAGTGATTTTTGTTTTTACACTTTGTGTGTAGATTCTGCATTGTAATATGTATTAAATAACATTAACTTTTCATCATTTTGTAAAATCGGACGCAAGTGCTGATGTGCGTTTCATCTCCAGTGGAATTTAAGTGCAATGAAGTCGACTGATTTTTTCCAAATTTTATACAGTACATTTTACAAATTCCACTTTCTGGTGTAAAACCGGACTACCTGTATATAATATGTTCAAGGTATTTAAACTTAAGCACTTTCTAAATAATTTAACAACAAATGTGTACCTCCGTCTCCGGTCGCCGCCTGCCTCGTCATCCCTGAAACATAAACATTTATATCAGTCAAAATATTTAGTTAATGTACTAAATGAAAAATGTATATCCAAGGTGTATGTAAATGTTTATGTGTATGTAAATGTCCATGTAAATGTTTAGTTTCAACTGTTCATAAGTAACTTGGATTTTTCACTCGTGGATTTTCACTCGAGGTATTAATAGTTTTATGTGCAGTAACGGGTCAATAAAGGTTTAATTTAACTTGGAATGTGTATTTTTTGTTCTGCAATATCACTCTATTTATGTTTTCTTTTCAATAAAAACTCTCCAGTACAGCAAACGCAGCATCTGTTTGACGATTTTGTTTGTGTAAGGTAAATGTTGTTTAACTCTCTATTGATGAAATCATAAAAAATGTTTTTTACAAATATTAACTTTATTTTTGATCGTGAAATTTTATTTAAGTATTCAGAACTATGTAAGTGTACAAATATAAAAAATTTAATTAATCCTTGGACTAAAATATGTAGACAATAATGTTTTCAGTTAAACTCTATCAAGTAACGCCGACTAGGATATATTCAATTAGATTCCATTGAATAATTTCAATCAATTAGATTCCATCGCTTATAGTTACTACCTTTATAGTTATTTCTGTAAAACTATTTGATAGTTAAATATACAAAAATTTCGTCACCTCAATAAAAACATATAAAACGAATTTGTGCTTTTTGGATTCAGCTGATGTAGCTGATGTGGGTAATGGTTATCACATCAAATCATCTTTATTTCGCACAGAAAATCTGTATAATAGCGACACATAAAAAATAAAACTAAATTCTAAAATCTAAATACTATAATAACTCAAATGTAACAGAACAAAATCTTATTCTATCGGCAACTTAAAAACTCTTTCATAGTGTAGGGAGTTTGGTCTTAAAGTATAAGTTTAACCGCTCTCCCAAATCTTTCGTTATTCTGTGTTTATTGGGTAGCTTGATGTTTTTTTTTTTTTTTTTTTAGAGTGTACTGCATTAAATTTAATGGAACTGCGGTTGGCCCAGATGATCATTTCTTTTTCTGATAGACAACTCAGTATATGGATGGAAATGTAAGAATCTTGTATTCATTGAAGAGAGGCTTGCAAGGAGTACAAAGGGACATTATAAAGGCTGCTCTTAGAGATTTTTTCTGAAGAAAGAAGAAAAAGAATCCAGTAAGCATTTAAGTAAGAATCCAGAGCTTCAAATCGTACCAGTCACTGAATTATTTATTTATTTATTTATTATCAACGGTTCCACCATTTTTACAATGTTGATTAATAATAACAACAAAAACAACGCGGTGGCGGGGTACTAATGCCAGTCAGTTAATGCTATGGAAAAGTTGTATTGGCCTTAAGCTGTATGAAGTAAAGTTTGGTTCACCTAGGCAAAAGGACGGGTTTTTATATAATAACATCCTCCTCAAAACCCCAAAAAATATTTTAATTGCCATCGTAGGTTTCTTCTAGACAACACTTTAAAGCTGAGGGTCAACATTGAAAACGATAGATATTAAAACAAATAAATATCAACAAATAAATTAACCTCTATCCAACCTTCATTCAACTTATCAAACGATTCCGTTCATCGCCCGTCAAAAGACACTGATCCTCCATTAAACCTTTTCATTGTCACCGAGCCATCAAGACGGCCATTTCCCGCGTTACCAGCTGATAGCTAATTCACAGCTGATCGCACCAATCAGCTGATCGCTTACTGCCACTAACCGTTACGCTCATCACCGCCATTACCACCACAAAGATATCACCGCTTGCTATCGATTTCGAATCAATCGAGATGTGACGCGCCATTCAATTAGTGGCAGAGTTCCTTTGTTTGGACTATCAGCATTCCGCTAGACTGCGCTGACAACCCTTCTGCGCGCGACGTGCGCTAATCTACGCTGAACCTGCTGACGTGGTACAAAGTGTCGTGCTGATAGTAGCTGTCTCCCAGAGTGTTCGGTAAAAAAAATGTAATTGATTATTGGTTGCATCCATGTAAGAATTCATCAGTAATGGCAGATTTTGATTAAAGCCCTACATAAAGCAAAATCATTATGGGATTAGTAAACCAAAACAGTTTATCAAATTGTTCTTAGAAACAACGTCAAATCTTAGTTATAAAAAATCAAAATTAGGCTTAGGCTTTATATAAGGAATAAGGTGTTTTGATTATTGGGACTACAGTGTTTTTGGATTAGACTGTGTCTTCGGCGCAAGATAATAAAAATTAAAAATAAATACCAACTGAAGATATTATTACGCGTAAACGTAAAAAGAGGTTTAAATGGGAAATAATAAAGCAATATGGACAGATTATAAAGAGAAAAATACATGCAAGTAAAGGTATTATCAAAGATTACACATATAATGTGTAATCTTTGGCATTAAGAACGGAAGGTGTCGCCGCCGATTCTTCTGTTTTTGTTTTCTTCAGTTCTGATTCAAACCATTTGTTTGTTTTCATTCCAAAACCACTTCATTCCATATAAATATTAATGAATATCTTCCACTCCGTTAAAATACTACATCGAACCACTTTTTAGGTTTTTTGTATTTATTTAACTTTTATCTTGATACTTTCTGTATCATTTTAAGTGGTCTTCATGCTGTGACTTTCCTTCTTCTTCAATCTACACACGTCGATTAACTTTATGTTGGTATTCAGTTGTACCATAGATTAAACATACTCCCTTGGGAGTAAGTTTAATCTATGATTGTACACAATTACAACTACAAACTTTAGGAATGTTAAGAAATTAGTCTTAGCTTAAACCTTAGACTGTAATTTATTAAATTTCTCTGTTCCACTCTGACCTGTGTTCACTAATATAATAACGTTTAATACTCCAGTATTACACAATTGACCCTACGTTTGTACGACACAAACCGTTTACCTCGCGTAGAGCGAGAGTCGGGTCGGAAGCCGTTGCACATCCCTTTACGGCGGTGAAAGAGCGATGATAAACACCGGAAGTGGAGGGATTTGCGGTGATAAGGGTGTGAATATGCGGCGACGGCGCGGCGGTGCAATGGAGCGGAAGTGCAAGATAAGAGGCATTGTTGGCACGGACCGCCGTCACTGATAACAGTTATCACTACTGTGGTCACTGAAACACACTGCATCACTGCATCACGTGTGCAAGGGTGATCACTGGTTATTTTATGTGTCAGCTTACGGTTAGTGTTTCATTATATATCTATTTGTGGGCAATGCGTTCCTTAAAAGATAATTACGGTGGTGGACATAATCAGTCATAAAATTTAAGAAAAAGCTTAAGAACAATCCATTTTATTACATTGCAATTTATATTGTTTAAAAAGAATATATGTCTAAGCGAGGGTTTTATCTGTAAGACAATTTAGTGAAATTCAAGCAAATATGAATTAAACAATTAATTTCGCTAAATGCTCACAATAAGGTCGTTAAGCTTTTTAAACGTTGTCGAGTTATCCTCTGTACCATACTAATAAAATCTTTGTCCAGCAATACTTTCAACTCTCACATTTTCGCAACTCAAACACCCTTTTCTTGCATTCCCTCCGTAAGAATCGTAAATCAGCGTTAAGTATTCAAGGAGCCAAAAAACTTCCCTTGCGTTGTCCAATGTCCGGCGTTATCGCGGCATCAGGTGACTGATGACCACGGGTCCGATCCCTGATAGTCCGACTAATTTATTCATAGAAAACGATTAACAAAGGGACGACAGTCGGGGGAGGTTCAGTGACGTCAGATCCGTCGTTATTCAGCTGCTTGCCTAGCAAATCTCTGCACGCAACACATCAGCTGATCAGCTTATCTGTGTGTCCCCGCCGGGGTAAACTATACGGACAATGCTATGTAGTTCTGTATTTCCACTGCATAAACATTACTGATGTATTCAGAAATCAGAAAAAGCAAAACAATCATGTGTAATAGACATGGTCACATACATTCAATATGAGATCCATACAGAAGGTTATTTATTTGCATTTACATTACTCTGGTAATTCTAGTAGTTTTACAATCCATGGAATTATTCAGGTTAAATAACGTTTGTGATACATTTTTGCCATACCACTCAAAGTTCACTCAGATGAAAGAGAGCGAATGATGCATGAGGACTTTACATTCCAGTTTAATTAAAACAAATTAGGTTTTTTTAATACAAAATGTTACTTTTCCAACTGTCAAAAGCAATAATTATTTTAAATGTGGTTAAATATGTATATAAAGTCAATCTACTGCAAACATACTATCAGAAATTCAATTCCAACTATTCAAATATTAAATTCAACTTGTAATAATGCTTAGATGAACTTAATGAGGTTGATCCTTCTTATACACGTTTGACATGCTGTATTATGATAAATTTAAGATATTATATTGACGAAATAGAGTATTCCATGTTAGAAAAAGTGTCTTATGCTCATCTTAAACTTCAACATCTTGTAGTAAAAAAAACCCTTCTGATTATTCCTTATTCTTTTTTCTTGCATGCAAAAGAATGAACATGAGATAACTCTTTGAATGAACAAATTTGCATTTGAATTAATGTCATGAAAAAAATCTTTCATGCTTCATTCATTCTTCTGTGTTGTGAAAACAAGCTATTCAGCTTCCACTGCTCACCTAACCCTTTCACACAATCTAGTCCACAACCACCGAATCGAACCCGAAATAAACAGTTTAGGAGTGTAAACGGAAAATTGGCACTGAAGGGTGAGGGGAGACAGTTGTGTAGGGGGAAGGGTTGGATATTCAATGTAGCATACTCGGAGCTAGTGTGGCGCAATTATTGTGGACTCGGCCGGAAGAGAAGCAAGTGACGGCCAACCCGTGCAGAAGCCCCCCTGGCCACCCGACGTTTGCATACCCCGGCTCTGTTTTTTACATTAAGCCCGCAATGTATTTTATTTAAGCCGTGATTTATATGGGCCAGACAATCCTGCCTATCTGGGGTTTGGGGTGGCCGCAGCCCGCAAGAAGCATGGGTTAGGCCTAATGTGCTCTCAT